CTGGAAGCACGATCAGGCGTTGCTAGGCAAATGCCTACAGATCGGGAGTCCGGAGCTGAAACCCGAAAGTTGGCTGCTTAACGGCCTCCAACAACAGCCTACCATCGGGGCCACATTCGTTGTGGTTGTCCACGTCCCTGGGGACGTTGTGCCTGCGATCCTGGCTAGGGGGCGCCGACTCAGCTTTATGTTTGGGTCGGTGTACCTGAAGTTCAGGGACGCCAAGGGGAAGTACGTCGACACTCCGCCGACGTCCGACCCCTCAGCACCACTCGGGGTTCAAACCGCAACGAACGTCACACCAGCGCCATTACCAGCCACATCCAGCGCTGGCCCTACGGACACCGCCGTTCCACGTGCCTCATCACCGGCTGTCGAAGTTCCGGGACCCTCGCAGGTGGCGACCTCGCCGCTTAGTGAGGACTGTCTCCTGGAGCTCGACGGGCTGGGGCTTGAGGACGTCGTCTGCCAGGACGATGGCGTCCCTCTGCAGTAGTGCAAACATACTGCAAATAAATCTCCACCACAGCGTAACCGCTACGGCTCAGCTTCGGCGGTGGTTGGAGACCAACAACACAGCAGTCGCACTAATCCAGGAGCCGTGGATTAGGAGTGGCACGGTGCGAGGACTCTCCAGCTTAGGAGGTAAGCTCGTTCAAGCCACTACTAGCGACGTAAAGTCCTGTATATACATTTCCAAAAACATCAGAACACAGCCTTTAATGAATTTCTGTTCCAGAGATCTCTGCGCTGTCAAACTGAACCTAAACCAAGATAATAACAGTTGTGACCTGATCATAGCTTCTGCATATATGCCTGACAGCGAGCGGGCCCCACCAGAAAACGTTGCGTCTATGGTCCGCTTCTGTGTTCGGGAAAACGTAGAACTGATCATCGCGACAGACTCCAATGCCCATCATCCTGTGTGGGGCATGGAACAAAGCAACAGCAGAGGTAACCAATTATTTGAATTCCTCCTGACTACTAACCTAGAGTTAATCAACACAGGCAACGAACCTACGTTCGTAGGCAGACGGTGCAAGACCATCATAGACCTGACCCTCGCGACACCAAAAGCGGCAACGGCCATATCTGGCTGGCATGTCTCCGATGAGGCATCATGCTCGGATCACCGCTGGATCCGCTTTACACTACAAGTAGAAACTCTATCTCCTACACCCCAAAGGTATCCCCGGAGAACCGATAAACACCGCTACGCACAACTACTGGCGGACCTTCTAAGAAACAACTCCGGTAAGGGCAGAATTGAAACCACGGAGCAGCTAGAACAACAGGTAAAGCACTTGACAGACAGCATAACGCATTGCTACGAAGAGGCCTGCCCCCTTAAACTCCCGAACTCGAGAGTATCCGGAAAACACCACTGGTGGGGGTCGGAGCTCGAGAGATTGAGAGGAAAGGTGAGGAAGTGCCTTAACAGAGCAATGAATACATGCAACGTCACAGACTGGGATAACTACAAAGCTACTAAAGCTAAGTACAAGAAACGTATCAGATACTGGAGAACAGCCTCCTGGAGGAACTTCACCGAGGAGATAAGCTCCACCAATCAGGCAAACCGGGTAAGGAAATTACTGGCCAAGCAAGGCCCTGGCGTGCTGGAAAGTCTGCGTCGACCTGACGGCACATTGTCCCATAATTGGGCTGACTGTGACGCTATCCTCCTAGAAACCCACTTTCCCGACAGCCAGCTTACAGAGCAGGTGACTTGGCAAGATGCACCTCCAAGTACAACAGAAGGATGCTGGACACTTGCAGAGTCGGTAATTACGCCTGAGGGAGTAAAGTGGGCTATCAACTGCTTTGCTCCTTTCAAGTCTACTGGCTCTGATGGCATCTTTCCAGCACTACTACAATGGGGCGGACAGGACGTGCTCGATGCGGCTACTCGTATATTAACATCATGTCTGGCTCATCGGTACACTCCACATTTGTGGAGGGAGGTCAAGGTAGTATTCATACCCAAACCGGGTAAAACCGACTATACTAACCCTAAATCCTGAACCATGGAAAGGCTATGCGACAGATACCTACGCAGTGGAGCATTAATCAATGCCCCACTACATAAACACCAACATGCCTACAGTTCAGGTAAATCTACTGAATCGGCTCTCCATCATTTACTCGGTAAGATAGAAGAAGCCTATCAAAATAAACTTATCTGCCTCGGAACCTTCATCGATATAGAGGGTGCTTTCGATAAGACGAACTTCACCAGTATTGAGTCTGCTCTCAGAAGACACGGAGTGGAGCAACAAATCATTGACTGGACAGTTAACATGCTTCGCAATAGAATAGTTCGGGTAAAAGGTGAGGACAGCAGAGGAGCACTGGTGGTACGAGGATGTCCGCAAGGAGGGGTTCTTTCGCCACTTCTGTGGAACCTCGTAGTAGACGACCTGCTGACCAAGCTAAACTCGAACCACCACTACACCATAGGGTATGCAGATGACATTACTATACTTACCCTAGGCACCCACGCCAGCATCACCTGTAACACCATGCAAAGTGCTTTGAAACTGGTTGAATGCTGGTGCAGGAAATACGACCTCACAGTTAATCCAACTAAAACAGAGCTGGTAATGTTTACAACCAAACGTGACGTAGGTGCTTTCAACTTGCCGAAGCTGTTTGGTACCACACTACAACTGTCGAAGGAGGTAAAGTATCTAGGCCTTATACTTGACAGCAAAATAAACTGGAGTAACCATGTGGAACACAAAATCAAGGCAGCCAGCGTAACACTTTGGCAATGCCGTCAAATGTTAGGGAAGCGTTGGGGCCTTGCACCAAAACTGTTCCTATGGTTATATTACACAGTCATACGACCAATGGTAAGTTATGGCGCCATCATATGGTGGCCGAGATCTATCCAGACTACCTGTGTCAACAAACTACAAAGCTTTCAGCGGCAGATATGCAGCGCGGTGACCGGGTGCATGAGTACGGCGACAACCGCAGCATTGGAAGTTATTTTAAACATCACACCGCTCCATATCTACATAAGACAGGAAGCGGCTAAAACAGCGTTGAGACTACAAAAGTTTGGACTGGTAAGGTTCGAAAGAGCAAAGCATCTCAACGGTATACTGAAGGAATGGGTAAACACTCCGCTCATAGATGCAGCATGTGACAAAATAATACCCGCCTTCATATTTGACAAAAAGTACAGAATACATCTACTGGATGACAACGATCCAAAGGTAACACACAAGGCTCTCATGATCTACACCGACGGCTCTAAAACCTCATCGGGCACGGGCGCGGGTGTTATCTCTGAGGACCTTAATATACACATCGCTTTCCCCTTAAGCCCGTACAACACAGTTTTCCAAGCTGAGTGTATGGGCATCACACTGGCGGCAAGAGCGATCCTCTCAAGGAAGGTAACAGGACAGGAAATACGAATACTGTCTGACAGCAAATCAGTCCTACAAGCTCTAGATGCCTGTCTAGTCAGATCAAGCTTACTACAAGAATGCCACCAAACCTTAAACACGATAGGGACGAGCAACTCTATTACCATCCAATGGATCAAGGGACACAGTGGATCACGCGGAAACGACGCTGCGGATGAGCTGGCCCGGAAGGGATCCGATACGACCCCAACAGGCCCCGAACCAATCGTCCCGATACCGGTAAGCTGTCTCGTCAATAAAATTCGCGAGCACACTGCCGCACTACACCAGCAACACTGGCTCGAACTGGAGACGTGCAGGCAGACCAAGCTCGCTTTGCCATGGGTGAACACTGCCTTTTCCAATTCTCTCCTACAGCTAAGCAAACCTACATTGCGCATGGTAACAGGTACTATTACTGGACATGCACATTTTAACAGACATCTTTTCAACATAGGTGTCACGGACAGCCCCTATGCAGAGGATGCATGGAGGCAGAAGAAACAGCTACTCACGTTCTGCTGGAATGCAACGGAGTGGCCGAATACCGGGCGAAATACCTCGGCTCACCGGGAAACCTTCAAGAGGCAGTCACCAACGTGAAGGCCCTGGGGGCCTTCCTGGCGGAGCTGGGCTGGCTGGAGTGATTCCGGCCATACACCCTCCTCACGCAAAATAGGCGCCATAAGGACGTCGAGTAGCGGAAACGTAGCAAGAAGAAGAAGAGAAGAACCTGCAAGAACATCAGCAAGAGCTGTTTTTTTCTCCCTGTATTATATATAGTCGTCAAATTGAAAAATGAGTTCAATATGTAACTCATGAAGTCACTTTTACCTATAAAATTTAAAAAAAATAAGAAAATATATAAAAAACTAGTTTAGGAATGCCGTGTCCTAATTAGGCATAAAAAAATTAAAGATTTAAGTTAAGTATAACGATTAATAGTAGTCAATGTAGCAAAGTAATAATGCTTTTATACACGGATTCCCTATTTTTCTTCAGATTTTCAGCAATTCTTATTGAATTTATTGTGATTTTCATGAGTGAGTCTTTTGAAGTAGAATTTAGATGTTTTTTGAGAAAATTTGTACCATTAGAAATTTGGGCCAAAACCAAAAAGGTCCCTTGTAAAGATTTTTATCAAATCACAAACCACAATCTATCAAAGAGAAATAAAAATAACGACTAAACTGTGGTCCCTCAGAACGGGTCATATTTTAGTTAATATTACTAAATCAAACAAATTCTTAAAATATTTGTAAAAAGAATTGGAATAAAAATGTCAATACCATTTGAACATAGCCATTATTAATGGTGGTCTATTTATTTTTTGGTGGTTGTTAAATATTTTTGGTGATCAGTAATAGGCCAGAAAGAGAGAGAATAATTAATAAGAGAGCCAAGCTATATGTGTTCAACTCTAATAATTATATAATCTAAAAATCTTTCCCACCTATCAAACTCTATGCAGGCATTCAAAACATAGAACAATTATGTGTCTGTTTTGTGGTAATCATCACAGAATTCAAGTAATATTAAAATGAAAGTAAACATCTTAAACAGGACAGTCTAACATAAATATTATTTGTTATTTTTACATAACTCCATTATAGACTCCATTTGTTTCTGTAATGTTGGTTTTCCTTCACCATTATTAATCACTAAATCCCAATCGCCATAGTCATCTAAATCACATTCTGAAGCAACATTATCAATGCCATCTTTATATTGGAAGCCTCTAGATTTCCTAGTCTCTTCATCGGCTACAATGCGAATAGTTTTGACTAAATCCTTATAAGTTTCTTTAAACCAACAGATATCAGTTTTTCTTCTTATATCACTCACAATCCATGTTGGTTTGTCCAAAGCTGAAATAAATCAACACATTAACTTGAAACATCAGAATTTATGTTACAGTTAGTTTCAAAATTAATGTAATGGGTACATACCATCGTGGCAAGCTTGTCTACAAAAATAACCATAATCCTGTGCTCGAATGCTATCACTCCATCTTATCATCTCCAGTCTGTATTGCTCTTTGTATTCATTGTGGCTTAAAAGTTCATTCAAATTCAAATTATTTTCTTTAGCCCAATAACTTTTTATAGGTGCTGATATTTTTATGACTCCACATTCGTTTTTTAGCCTGCAATCATATAATTTCCGTTGTTGCCCCATTATTAAGACATCTTGTACATATACAGTTCACGCTTATTTTAGCTGCTGAATAAATAAACTTCTTACTTAAAATTATAAACATTTTTTTTTTAGTTGTTTGGCTTATTCAGCAATATAAAAGCTAGCCAGTGACATTCTTAGACAATTAAGACAGTCACTGGTTCGTTGTAATTTAATTCAGTAAAGCTGCAACAAATAAATTTCACTTTATTTTTTGTGCGAAGTAACCTTATGAATACTTCTCACCTTTGCTGTAAATGATCTGTGAGATAATCTTTCCCCGATTTTCTTTTACCGCTAAATAACAAAATCACTTGAGGTGACATTTTTAAAATTAAAATTAATAAAATAATGTAAATTCACAAAAATCAAATACAAACAAACATTGCATATTGCATCAAACCTTTCCAGTGTATTACTGTTCTCTATGACTTTTTTTTTTAATTTATTGGCAATGATTTTCTCTATGACTCCGCCACAGTGTTGCCAGGTCCGATGTTTAAAAATCGGGAGGTGTTAATAGAAATAATCAGTAGAGATATGGAAAGACCTACAAGAAAAAACAGTAGATGCAGCGGCGTACTTTTTCTGTGGCTTCTGCCGTCCCTGAAAGCTCGTTTTTTTTTTTGTAGACAGTAACATTTATTTTATAATAAAGATTAACTCCATTATTAATGGCGGAAAATATAACATTTCAGAAAAACAGGAGATCGCCTGTTGCTCCGACTTTAAAAAAAAATATTATTCATGTCCATAGGTACAAGCTCTTCAGTCGTATATATAAATACAATCTTAATCTTCTTTTTTTTACATTGCAATGTCGGTGTAACGCATTCTAATGTTTCTTATAGTGTTTGGCATGATATGTATACTTGTAGTTACTTTTTAGATAAGCTTCTGTGAGGTAGTCAACACTAAAATAAAGTTCTCACGTCCACTTGACTGGAATAACGTATATTTTAAAGATTCCACTAATCCTTCACTTGCGCAGATGATTGTAGCACAAAATCACACCAATTTTATTTCACAATATCCACTATGAACGAATTTAAGAATAATTAAAATAAGACCCAACGGCACTCGATGAAATCCCGCCAAAAATTCCGACATTTGTTTGACAATAACAGTGCTGCTAGGTCCAATTTTAAAAATTGGGAGGCGTCACCAACGATATTAAATACCCTAGATACACCACGTGCGCTCAAAATGTATCCCAATCTACAAGTGCTTGAACACGACTCAAGCAAGCACTTGTTGGTTCACAATCACGCGCGGACTATTGAAAAGTCAAGATGCCGCAGAGCACCGTGAAAAAATGCGAAAAAAATACTTATAGTACTACGTAAAGTGTCGTTTTTTCGACAGGTAATCAATGTTTCTTAATTTAACGCATTTGATGCAAATTTTGTTGTAATACTAACTATAAACTGATTTAATAGAAAATATTGGTTATATTCAAATGCATAGTCGGTTATATAGCCGTCGCTTTTCCTTGCGGTTCGTACCTGGTATATTTCTAACAGGGCATTTAGAACTGCGCAGAATTTGCAGAAATCCAAGAATGAAGGTCTTTCCGCAATGTGTCGTAAAATTTTACGAATTTGCATATCGAACTGCCACAACTCTTTGACGCATAGGTTTTAATTAAGACCTTATACAGTATGCATTAAAGGTAACTTTCTTTGTTAAATAATGCCTTATATTATTTTTGACTACGCGATCATCTTACGGAGCTTCGTGGATCGTCTAATGTACCTTTTGGGCAGGTTTCGGCCACGATTTTGTTGATGCTGTTGTATCTAGGGCAGAGGTAATCAAACTTGAACTGCTGGCGATCTACCTCAAAATTTTTAGACTACTTACGATCGACTCTGAGAGGCTGCAAGTATGTGTGATGCAGGGTTGTCGTACATACACGATAGACCCCACCTACCTACCTACCTCGGTAGGTACATACCGTAGCATATATAGATATTAGCTTTCCGCATAATATACATTATTTTAGTCAAGGTTTGGGTTAGGTTTAATTAGGTTCTTCTCTATAACATCAATGAAAAAACTCATAGTTACTGAAATTGCGAGTTTATTGGTTGTTACAAAACAAAAGAGTTACATATGGTGTTAAACTTAACTAAGGAGTGACTTTGGATGTTGAAGCGTGCCACTGCATGTCCTCAGCATACTTTTCATAAGATAGTACATAACCACTGAATGCTAATCGCAAGTATGATGACATATGATCGTCAGTTAGTCGATTGCGATATTTTGACTTAATTATCTTCATTTCAGAAAATGCAGACGCGCACAAGTAAGGTGCCCCAAACATTGCCGTCAGTTGAAGGGCGAATTGCCTTAGATTCGGATATTTATCTTCAGATATAAAACACCAGAAATTTGTATCAGATGCTGTAGCTTTGAGATGTATTTCTTATATAATCTGCACCAACTCATTTTCAACAGAACATGAGTTCATATTAAATTGACTTGCTATTTCAGTAGCTAATTCCTTAATGTTTTTACATGAAAAAGGATAACTCATAAATGATGCTATATTTGCCAATTTACTACAATCATAAAAACGCATTTCGTATTGTCCCAAAATATTTGATAATTCAGCCTCATACGTATCATAATTCAACTGAAGAATCCTTGCTTTGAAAGACGGAAAATGTTTCAGTTCCATTCTTTTCAGTTGATCTATCATAAGTTGCAATTTACTTTTTGAATGCGTTTACTGTGCTAATCATCTCAATAATAGTTTTTCCTTTACCTTGAAGCTCCAAGTTAATGGTGTTGATGTCAGTCAAAAATGCCAAATCGGTCAGCCATTTTTCGTTTTTCCACATCAGCCCCTCTAGCATGACCACTCCATAGTAGTCTGACAGTTAATGCCGATATATCGCTTTATCATATCCCGTTTCGGTGGTCATGCTAGTGGGGCTGAGTGTCATCACCTCTTTCGTCTAGAAAAGCTGTTATTTCGGGCAATTATTCTTGAAACCTTTCGAATTTTCTCAACTCAACCAACACGGACGTCAGGTCCGTGTTAAGAACTAAATCTGTGTGTTCAGCTGACTCCCTATCTTCCAACTGCAACTTAAAGAGCCGCCGTTGCAAGCTACGTGCACGGATGGAATTCACAATTTTTGTTGCAATGCCCATAATTTCCTCCGTGTTTAAAACTTTTGAACACAAAACTTGTTGATGTATAATGCAATATCTAATGCCGCTTCCTATATACTAAATATAGAATTTATTGTAACTATATATCTATATCCTAAATAATGTAATGGAAGGTGACTTCAGAAGTATCTCTGAAGTCATTTTTCAACTTGACGACTCTGTATATATCAATACAGGGACAAAAAAGCAGCCCTTGCTGAGTTTCTTGCCAGTTCTTCTCAGTACAAGGTCTCCCGCCGTAGTTTTGCGAACCGATGGCGTAGCTTCTTGACCTTCACAAGTGCTTGTAACAGCCTAGACTGAATAAATGACTTTTCATTTCATTTCATTTCAATGGAATGAAAAAAATGAAGGGAAATCTTCATTAGCTCGACACAATGCCACAAAACCGTTTTTGTTTCCAGTCATTGCTGTTGCTCCATGGGTTGTAAGAACGCGTCATATATGTCTTCGACACGGCTCTTCCCCTTCAGAGGAATGATTGTCAAAAATTCTTCCTTAGCCAACATGTCGTTGAATACCATCCGAATAAAAATACACAGCTGGGCAGTGTCTGTCATATCGATGGATTCGTCGAACTGTAAAGAAAAGTATGTACCCATGATATCTTGTTTTAGTTTATCTGCCATGTGCTCATCATGCCTGACTCATGACTTCAATACGCCTTGTGACAGTCGGACGAGATAACTGAAGTTCTCTAATAGCAGACATGATATCTATTCTATTTTTAAAATCTCCCAATAAAGTCTCACCCGCTTCAATAAATGCTTCCTTCGCAACCGATTCATCTTCGAATGGTTTCTTGTGTTTTGCCAATATATGAGATATTTTAAATGATGCGATCGTAGTAGCTTTTGATTGTTTGGCTGGTCTTGTGAACATGGTTTGTTCTTTTTTCAAACAAGATATCAAATCACGTACTTTTCGTTTTCTTAATTTGCTCTGTGGCGGAAAATCCTTTTCATAGTTTTTATGAACCGTTTTATGATGCCTCTCTAAGTTACCACGCTTAGGTATTGCAACTGACGCACGACAAATAAGACAAATGCACTTATCCTTCACCATACAAAAGAAAAATTCTTCCTCCTAATCGTTATTAAAATGAAACGTTTTAGATTTCTTCGCTGCACTCATTTTGTACTATTTAATAATAAACTTTGTATCGACGTAGTATTGCCTTCTAGTTACAATTCAGAATGACTCCAAATCCTGCAGGTGCAACATTTATATCGGCGTGAACGAAAGTCTTGAATGTTCCCGTCAAACGCGCAGTCCGGAATTTCTAGAAAAGCGGTAAGAATAAAAAACGCGGCTGTTCTTTGACAAGTACCGCGCGTTTCTTTGATAAAGCCGCCTTTTGCCGCTAGCAGAGTGTTATTTTATCACGTAATATTTTTTTGTAGTTTAGTTAAGAATCTACTTATTAATAAAAAACCTTCTCGAGATCTACTTAAAAAGGACTCGCGACCGACCGTTTGAGCACCCCTGATCTAGGGTATTTTATATCGTTGGGCGTTACAGTAAAAAAAAGGTTAATAGATGTATGGAAAGAGATGCAAGAAAAAACCTGAACCTGGTTTGAAAAAACGATAGCACTAAATTATTTTTATATTATACTTTGTTTGTTAATTTGTGACTAATAAGCAACAGCACCTATTAAAAATAACAGCGTTTATTTTAAGAGTTTTACTTTTGTACAGTCACGTTCTTTGATTTGGGACCCGCCGTAGATTGAATATAAGATAGCCAAAAGATATCATAAGAGCTAATATTTGGGCTAAAGACGTTGCCATGACAACATAATATGCACTATTTCTAATATAGACAGCTGCACCCTTAGCACGATCCAATACCGAATTCGTAACGTTTGCGAGTCGGAAATGTCATTGCCAAATGTGTACTGATTTTTTGTTCTCATTACGTACTTTGTGGCGCTGCTGTTCAAGTTTCCATACAAATTTTGGCATTGACATTTCGCACTCGCAAACCCGAGAAGCGAAGCGAACAGACATTTCCGATTTCGTGCCTATCACTCGACTTAGAGCCGCCACACATTTAAGTCCATACCGACTGCTTCAACTTGCGACTGAATACACACATACACGGGCCGCTCGAGTTGGTATGAACTTCTTGAGCGGTTATCAATGGTAGAATCAAGCTTTTGACTCTGACTGCTCGAGCATTCGTGTATGTTAATCACTGGCTTACACTTAATAAGCCGGTATAATACAATTACAAATCTTATTAACAGCAAAGTGAATAAATACTAATAATCTTCTTGTATCCCATTTATTATATATATTTTTTCATGTATTTCCTTCTTATTCGGTTACTCATTGTCTGCGACATGCTAGTGAGTATCAGGATATTTCCCCGAAATTAATTAAGTGTGACTAATATTTTTCATCTTGATTTTTCGTACGAGGCATTATTTTTCTCTCACTTTTTTCTTATGTTTGAATGACTCGTCGTCGTCATCCGATCAACGTTGGACTATTAGTCCGTCAATTAGCCTAATTTACTACAAATCGCATACGTTGGCAACACTCAATCTGACAGATAGTGTCACCTGGCCGTGTGACCAGTGTTGCCAGGTCTCCAGATTTTACAGGAGATCTCCTGTTTTTCTAAAATTTCTCCTGTTCTACTGTTTTTGTACATGAATCTCCTGTTTTTCTTAAAATACGATTTTCTTTATTAAATTGCATGTTGAGTTGCACTTTCGGCCATTAATAATGTAGGTAACCTTATTTTGTTATTATTAATTTTAAAATAAATGCTATTATCTAAAACAACAACTGTCATGGGGCGGCAGAAGCCACAGAAACGCAGTAGTTACTGGTCTTAAGTTTATCTTCATTTGATTTACCAATTACGAAGAAGTACGCCTCTGCATCTACTGTTTTTCTTGTAGCTCTTTCCATACACCTACTGTTTTTTCTATAACGCCTCCCGATTTTTAAAAATCGGACCTGGCAACACTGCGTGTGACAGTGAAATACTTTATGAACTGGCTCGTTCATGGAGCTTTGGAGCTTTTTGCAAATTAGTTCCAATTTCTGCCACAGGCAGACTGGAGCAATGATTATGACCATGAGCTACATTACTGAATTATTTTTCTTTACACAGATTATATCATCTGTCAACAAAAAATAGTCAAAAATATTTAAGCACATAGCTGAGCTGGCTCCTTCGAAAAAAAATCATAGTGTGAAGGGAATCACGAGCTTATTAATATGAGTTTACTTATTAAGGAACCAGATGTCGTTACTAGTCCTTTCCTAGTCCAGTCCACGAATTCCCTACCAGTTTTACAATCCATCCATTCTTTGTCTAACTATGCCCCCACTACCACTAGAATGACACATGGGCATCGCATGACGATAAAAAAATTTTGAAGTAAAAACTTCTTTAGCACCGTATTTGAGATTCGATGAAACGGAAGTAGAGTATTTGATACAAGGTAGGTATCCGTAATTTTGTCATAAAGCCAAACGGTAACGGTCTTGGGGGGTTAAGTTAAGCTATTATATACGAAACAATTTAAGTATAGAATATTTAAATTTGTCCAGTATTTTACAATACCTGAATAGTCTCGTATTAAATGTTTGATAGGTGCCTAAGTTGTTTATTAATAAAATAGCTGGTAACGATAAAGCTTATTTTTGTTTGAAAAAAATATAACTTAATTTAAATAGTATATTAAGTTTATCTTTAGAGAATCATGCCAGAATCGACACCTCTATCTACTTACTTATTTTTAATAAAGAACAGATGAAATAAATTTCTTATCGGATATCACCAATGGTATCATCAGACAAATTGAATCACGACCTACCTATCCGACATTTAGGTAGACGAGGAGTTCTATAGTAAAAACTGAAAAGATTAAAATGATATCCGTGACTGTCTGAATGAATAGTGTGGATGCGCGCCGTAATAGTATCACCCACCACATCACGTTATTAAACCACCATAACCTTACTTGTGTAGGTATAACTATAAATTTGTGCGCCGACACGAAAAAAATGGCGTTATTTGAATGCCGACCGATAATTTAAATGTAGCAACAACCGCTTTTAGCTTACAACCTTAATTGACTTAAAAATGCTTATCAATTAATTCATAGTCATAAAATCATTATTACCACATACTTTATTGTACTAAAATGAACCTTAATGTAATACCATTCGACACTTAATTGTAACCAATGTCGAGTAACATTCGCTGTTGTGAAACGAAGCCGAAGTTCGAAGCACGATGCACGCTCACGACTTTCTGAACAACTCCGGACATGACATTCCACGTTTCGTTGTAGATTAGAACGGGATGGATAGAGAACCACCCGCCGAAAAAAACGAGACAAGCAACCGACAGAGCAGTCCACGTGGACTGCTTAATATCAACACGGGAGCGACGACCAATAGAAAACGGTACCGCTAATGTATTTCTCACCTCCGCACTCACACCAAGGAACCTTACCATTTTTGTATTGTTTACATGATTTTCGACTTTCGAACAAGCTGCATAAGGTTTGCAATTTTGTAATGCGGTGATGTCGTAGTCCATTTTCGAAATGACTTACAAAGTGGTGCTGACGTGATTCTAGTTCGTGCTGCTCCGCGAATAAGGTGTATTGTTGTCCGCAGAGTGTAATGTGGTTCTTGAATTTAAAACGATTCCCAAGAACACGGGCGCAAGTTGGTGAAGGTTGGAGGAGGCCGCGGTGCAAACTGCATCGTCACAGCGGCACCCCTTCGCCTCCCCGTGGCCCCCTCCCGGTTTATTGTAGTAGGTTGCGGGTGTGTGTGTACGTCTGTTCCGAGTCAACTGTTGTGCTGAGGCACGACGTTTTCACAGAGGTGCATGCAGCCGGTGCACTCAACGCCAGCAATATTTTGCCGCTGCAATATGCCGCTTTTTATTTTTGAGGTCGACCACAATCCGACCGAGCGGACAAAGGACTCGGAATATAGGTAAAAATAACATATTTTATTTACTAAGTAAGTAAGTAAGTATGAAGAAAAATGAGTCGACTGCTACCAAATAAGTGTTTTTTTTATGTAATCCAATCAACTGTTCTTTAGTCAAATTCCCGTAGCCCCGATCCTGAATCAATCATCTTAGACTGTCGAAATTTAATCTCCGGCTCACTGAGACACCAAACGTCTAGTCTTTTTACGGAAGCAATTTAAAAGGAAGAAAAAAAATTAACGAAAGCCAAATCAAAGCATTCAAGACCCTACCTGGAAACAAATCTCGTCTTTAAAAGCTCTTCTATGATTATTCTTGATTCAATGAGAGGGGGTTTCTTTGTTGATAACATCCCGGAAATATGGGGCTGGGTAAACAACCACTTCGCGAGTGACGCGTAAGGGCAAACTTACTTACCTACCCCAGAGTTTTAGCTCATTCAAGTGAAGTCGAGCTAACAAGTTTCGCGTTATTTCGTTTCAGCAAAAGTAGACTTTATTGCTTATTTAGAAACAAATATCTAACGCATACATTATTAATTAGGTATGTATACTACAATTATTCATCAACCTACTCATTTTGCATTACATAATACTTAAGTACTATGAATTTACCTAATCTTAATTTATGACAAAGGTATTTTTTTTTAATATTATCATATAGGTACCTACTTAGCATGACTTCTCAGTAAACTACCTATTCTTAACGTGAAAAAACGTTTTTTCAGTTTTCAGTATTTCCATTTCTGGTAGGTATAAGTAAATTAAAAAAAAATAAAAAGGGGGATCCCACTGAAGAGAAAGAGGAGACATTTTTTCATTGTTTCTTGTTTTGAAGTTTACACAGAAACACTCATTTTATATTCTACTCTACTGTGATGTGTTTTAATATTGTATAACTAGCAGTGCCGTCCGACAGCGACAGGCGGTGACATGCCCAATCAAATAATAATAATAATAAAAAGAAAAAATTGTGTGTGTCAGCTCCGACGCACGACTGGAGTTTACTCCTTAAGTTCGATAGTCTAACCAGACGCAAAAAGAGTTTATTTAACTTAAAAAAGATTGATACTGTATGAAAGGGTAAATTAACAAATTAATGAAAATAATATACATATATAAATATATATTTATTCATTTCATATACATTTATTATAAGTAATCGACGAAATATTTTACATTAAACTTTTTACAATAGTCAATTTCAGATGTGCATAAATATATCATTAGGAATGTTGATAAATTATGTAATTATTATTATCAGACTATTATCATTTTTTTAAATATTAATTAAATCAACATTGTCTGCATTATTAATTAAAGTGACAAGTGGATTGTGGTAACAAAAATTAGACACATTGACGTTGGTAACGTGGTTCACGAATCTTGAAAATACCGCATCAATGGTTGTACCATACCTCGTTGTCCCCATAGCTCTATCAGAAACAATATCTAAATTCAGTTCAGAATTAAAAAAAAATATTAATGTCAATCCGTCATCTTTATATTTGTCAAAGTTGCGCGACGGGACGCGTTCTTTTGGCATCTGAAAATATTTACTTAATAGAAGTTGAAATAGT